ATATGTGAAATCTGAAGAAAAAAAGTCAAACTCATAGAAACAGAAAGTAGAACAATGGATGCCAGGGCTAAGGAGTAGGGGGAAAATGGGACATACTGGTCAAAGGGTACAAACTCCCAGTTAGAAAATAAATAGGTTCTGGAGATCTAATGCACATAATGGTGACTCTAGTTAACAATACTGTATTATATACTTGAAAGTTGCCAAGAGAGTAAATCTTAAACGTTTCCATCAGAAAAAAGAAATGTTAACTATGTGACGGGATGGATGCATTAGCTAACTTTATTGTGCTAACCATTTTGAAGCATACATGTATATCAAACGTTGTATACCTTAAACTTACACAATGTTTTTGTTTTTGTTTTATTTCCCTAGATTCCACATATAAGAGATCATATATTTGTCTTTCTTTGTCTTGTTTCACTTAGCATAATGCCCTCAAGTTCCATCCATATTGTTACAAATGGCAAGATTTCATTTTTTTTATGGCTGAATATTTTATTATACATGTATGTAACAATCACGTTTTCATTGTCCCTTTATCTGTCAATGGACATTTGGGTTGTTTCCATATCTTGGCTATTGTAACTAATGCTGCAGTGAACATAAGGGTGCATATAGGTTTCCATGTTAGTATTTTCATTTTCTTTGGAGAAGTACCCAGGACTGGAATTGCTGAATCTTACAGCAGCTCTATTTTTAATTTCTTAAGGAACCTCCATACCGTTTTCCATAGTAGCTGCACCAGTTTACATGCCCACCAGTGGTGCACAAGGGTGCTCTTTTCTCCACATCCTCAGCAACACTTGTTATTTCTTGTTTTCAATAATTAGCCATTTTAACAGGTGTGAGGTGGTATCTCATTGTGGTTTTGATTTTCATTTCCCTGATGATTAGTGATGTTGAGCACTTTTCATGTACCTGTTGGCCATCTGTATGTCTTCTTTTGAAAAATGTTTGTTTAGTTCCTTGGTCTCATTTTAAATCAGGTTGGATTTTTTGTGTTTTTTTTTTTTTGCTATTGGGTTCTATGAGTTCTTTATAAATTTTGAATATTAACCCATTATCAGACATAATGATTTTCAAATATTTTCTCCCATTCCATGGGTTGCCTTTTCATTTTGTTGATGTATACAATGTTATGTCAATTATATACATATATATTTTATATATTATGCATATTTGGGAAATGTTTTTTTAAAAAAAGACAAGACAGACTCATCAACCAATTGCAATGTGTAGATCTCATTTTTCCTGATTTCAAAAAATCTATAAAAACACAAATTAATAATATGTACACTAGGTATTTAATAATATTAAGGAATTTCTGCTTATACTTTTAGTGAGATGATGATATAGTTATTTTTTAAAGAGGTTTTATCTTATAGAGATACATAATGAAATACTTATAGATGAAATGATATAATGACTGGAATTTACTTCAAAATAATAGTGAGGGAGTGGAACTCTAAAGGAAACAAGATTGACCATGAGTTGAAAATGTCTTAATCTGGATGATGGTTAAATTGGGTTCATTGTACTATTCCTTCAACTTCTGTAAATGCTTGAAATACTCCATAGAAAAAATTACAAAAGTAGGAACAGGAGGCATTATATGGATGGCCTAGAAGTTCAGAACATGAGCTCTGGAGTCACATGGCCTGACTTCACATTTTGTCTCTGCCTTTAACAATTATGTGCCTTGAGGCAAGTGAATAGTCAGGATAGAAAGGACTGTGGCTGATGGAAGCTCCACCATCTTGCAATACCACCATGTCAACATACAGCCTCTGAAGATGCTGTAGAAGGGGAGAAAAAGACAGGAGGGATCCAGGAGACGTTTTTAAGGTCCAGACCTAGAAATGGTTTACATCATTTCTGTCCATATTATGTTGGTCAGAATTCAGCCACATGGTCTTAGCTTAATGGCGAAGGAGGATGGGAAATGTGTGACCACGAAGAAGAGGAAATTACTTGATGAGGCATGTTTTGTGCCCCTCAGAGTTACTTAATTTCCTATGCTTTAGTCTGCTCCTCTGTAGAATGGGGATGATGATGATAACATGTATCTCATAGGCTTATTTTAAGTATTAAATGATTTAATACATGTTAATTTCTCAGAGCAAGGCCTAATGCATAGTAAGTGCTTAATTTTATGTATGTATGTATTTATTTTAAAATGGGCCTTGACACGTGGAGAAGATTATTATCAGCCAAAGATGGGAGTTGGTGAAGCAGTCTATTTTATAAAACACAGCAAAAAAGCAAAAGGGAAATGTAGGGTGTGTTCAGGAAATAATGAGTATGTGATGGGCAGAGGAGGCCTCAGATACCTAAATTCAGCAGGCAGTGGACCACCATTGAAAAGATGGTGGTAGTGAGATGGCAAAATATCATAGAATCACGTAGAAACATACAATCCAATCTTCTTATTTTACAGAGAAGGTAATTGAGACAAAAAGAGAATTAAATGACTTGTCCAATGTGACACGTCTTGCTGATGGCATGGCTGAAATGAGCTCAGCCTTCTTAACTCCCCAGCCTCTGGTTTTCCACCATATTTTCTTCCTCTTAACAACTGTAAGAGACTTTAGGAAGATGAATTTGTCAGGTTTTAATCTCAAATTGCTATGAGCAAGTTACTTCATCTCTGGATCACAGTTGCCTCTTCTGTAAAAGGCAAGTTGTGCCACGTGATCTATAAGGTCCCACTTCTAGTGCTAAAATTAGAATTAAATTAAAGTTGAGAAAGTTTGGAACCACTTCAGTTTGATAGTCTAAGATAGAGATTGGTACTTGTCCCCCAGTATCAGTTCTCCTTCCTTCTTATACAGCACACAAGTTTAAACTGGGAATGTGTCTGCCAGAATAAATTTTATATTTCGAGCCTCCTTTGGAACTATGAGTGGCTATGTGACTAAAGTTCTGACCAGTGGGCTATAAGCTATGCTTCGGTGGTGGATACAACTTTCAGAAAGTATCCTTCAAAGGGGAATAGCTCTGTTTTTCTTTCTTCCTCCTGGCAAGAATGCAGACATGATGGCTGAAACTGGAGCAGACATCTTGGATCATGATGTGACACTGGCCCATGTATGGGAGCTGTGTTGAGAAATGTAGAATAACAAGGTACAAGAACTCTGGGTCCCAATGATTGTGGAGCCTTCAGTAGCCCTGGCTTCCTATCTTAACATTCACAAGAAATAAATATCTACCTTGTTTAAGCCACTGCCATTTTGGGTGTTCTGTCACTTGCAGCTGAAGCTATATTGTAACTGATATAGGAGATACTTGACGTACCAAATTGTACTGAGAGCCTGAACTGTTAGTAGGTTGGCAGAAACGACTCTAGGAAAGCACAGGTGACTTGAAGATTATGCCAAGATTTTGAGCCCAAATGACTACTATCAGAAATAGGGAAGTTGGAGAAAGAGGTGGTTTGAAAGGAAAAATCAAGAGAGCACATGAACATTTAATGCCCAGATAACACCAAAGCCAGGTTCTCAGCGACACTTGAATAGGGAGGAACTGAGTCTTCCCTCAAAGAGTCTCTTAGTTGCATTTCATCTTATTCTTAGAAACATGTCTTCTCATATCCTTTCAATCTAGTTTCCTTATCAAGACCCCTTGTCATTGCTTCTGGCCCCATGAGAACACTCTGGACCATACATAGCTGTCCTCTGCTGACGGCCATCCTGAATGGTACTGTTGTCTGCAGCAGAGTGGTAGGCAGTGGGGTGGGCGGGACGTATTAGTCCTTCCCTAATTTTGTGACTCACTTTGTCACCTGAGCCATGAAGCAACATACTTTATGCCCAGAATCACACAAAGTACGCAGCTTTTCCAGCACCTGGTTCTAACTAGACTCAAAGATAATCTCTTCAGAACCAATGGGGCACAGACTCAGTAATTGTGGTGGACGGACTCTAAGATGGCCCTTAATAATTCCTGTCTCTTGGTACATCCTTGCGTCATTCCCTCCCCTTGGGTGTGGGCTGGCTTAGCAACTTGCTTCTAACCTATAGAATGTGAAAAAAAGTGATGAGATGTCACTTCTGTGATTATGTTACATAAGATTTTAACTCTGTCTTGCTGGCCGATTCTTTCTATTGCCCTCATAGCTTGCCTGCTTTCATGAAGCAAGCAACCTGTTGGAGAGACCCACATGGCAAAGAATTGAGGGACGTCTCTAGTTAACAGTGAGAAGGGAACTGAAGCACTCAATCCAACAACATATGAAGAACTGAATCACACCAATAACCACGTGAACTTGAAAGTAGACCCTTCCCCAGTCAAACCTTTCAATGACACTCCAGCCCTGGCTGACACTTTGATTGCAGTCAAGTCAGAGACCCTGAAACAAAGGACCCAGTTAAGCTATATCCAAATTCCTGACTCACAGAAGCTATGAGATAATAAATGCATGTGGCTTTCAGCCACTAAGTTGATGGTAATTTCTTATGCATCAATACGTAACTCAGACAATAATATTTCCTCTATTCTCCTCATCTCTCCTCAGGCTCCTGCCTCCTCCATCCTCAAATCTCCACCATCCTATCAACTTATGCAAATATATGTCTTCAGGGACCTCCAGTCTACTAGTTCTGCAATCACAGAGTTTTGGCATTCTATTTGGGGCTACAACCTGGATGAATAAATAATCAAATATAAGCGTTTATCATTCCCTTACCTGTTGTACAGCACAGCTTAATTTAACTCTAGATTCACCTTCTGACTTCTCATATTTTTTTAATCTTGGTGTGTTCAGTTTCTCCTAAAGTTGTCCTGGGTTCTGAGGCTTCACAGAAGATCAATTATGAAGTCTCTAGCTGCTCACAGATGACTTTCCCAGAGTCTCAACTGGTTTATTTAGTTGGCTTCAGTTCATAGAACTATTTGGGTTTTAGTTTTGATTTTCCAGCCTCCAAGACAGAAGATTCCACTCTGGGTCTTTCAGACTATTCATGTCTCCATTCTTACTCTGTGCTGTTTCCCATTCTGAAGATATTTATGAAGACATCTGTGTTCTGCCCAAGTCTGCCTCCATTTCTGATTCATACTTTATTTTCATGTGCTTTAGCCAACTATAACTTTGTTAACCAGTCATCCTCAGTTGAATGCACATGTATTTTTCTATAAAAATAATTTTTTAAAATTTAACATTTTGCATGAAACTCTGTATTTTGGAAATATATTCATTTTTGATGTGTTAACATGTCTTCTATCTCTTATTAAGAGCTATGCCAATTTTCCTAATCTACCTTCACCATGCAAAAAAAAAAACCAGCCATTTGTGCTGTATACCATTTGTTTTTCATTTGTTGGTGACACCAAATATTTTGCTATTCACTGCCATTCAGTATTTGTAATCCATGTTCATCACCACCATGTAAAATCTATGGAAACATCTTTCTCAGGAATTTTTTCTAGTCTAACTTCAATTTTTTTCACAACAAACCTCTATACAGCAAGCATGGGTGATACATCTACCATGAGTTAGGTACTGCAGATACAAAGATGACCAAGACATGAATTATACCCGCAAGAAGCTCACAGACAAGAGCTCTCATGTGTCTGTATGAGGGACAGATAAGTACACCAATATCTGTAATATTATGTGCTATATTCAAAGTATATTCAAAGGGTTATGGGAGCACACTGGTGGGAGTGAATAGTCTCCCCATGTGGGAGGGAGAAATTTTATCTAGAAGGTGGCTTTTGGATGAACTTTGAAGTCTGAGTAGCATTTTTGCACGTGAGAAGGGCAGTAGTGAATTCTAGGCAGAGAGGACGTAATATTATGCATGTTCAGAAAGATATTTATTGAAAACCACTTTTAAATAGAGCTTTAAGAGACTTTAAAATTGATTTCAAGTGGTTTCATTATGCCCTCTCCTAATGTTTCAGAGCTACTTCAAATGATGAAAAAAAATCTTAGGATTTGAAGTAGATGGTGAGTATATTTTTCAGCCCCTAGATTAAGACACGTTATCTTAAAAAGACAACTGTAATTTTGGGGAATAATAGAACCAAGTGTTTGAATTTGGATCTGTCTGGGAAAGTCAGTTCAGAACACATGTTCTCTTAGATACTAGTATATAGAACTCCAGGTAGAGGAACTCATGATTACAATCCTTGACAATCAGAGAACTAAATCAGAATGTCTGAAAAGGACTTCATGGAATTTGCCAGCTCTTTGGAACCAGTCGCATTAGAGGCTCTACCATGGGAGTCCAGCCATTCTGATAGTCTTTTATCTTTTGGCTGCAAGTAAACAGACACTCTACGTAGCTCAGGGGAATAGAAAATGTTGAGGGGAATATTTTGCAGGATTCTGGGGTGTCTCATAGAACCAAAGGTAGAGTGAAGTAGTCAAGGCCCAGGAATAGCAGAAACCAAGGCATGCCAGTAGTATGCCCCCAGGTAGCAAGGATGACAAACTTGGGGGGTCAAGCAGGGTTGAAGTGGGCTCCAGTGAACTGGGGCAGTTGTTACTTCCCACTAGCCAATTGTCGCCGTATAGGAATTTGGCCCAGTGCCACCCAATCCAGTAAAGTCAGAATTGTGGATTGTTATTTGACATTCCCTGGTTTTAAAATGTTCGCTAGTAATCCATATTAACATAAAAGACACTGTAAGGGACAAACAAAACACGTCTTCAGTCTCTGTTCCAAAGTGTTGCCACTAAAGTGATTCAGCTGCAACATCTTGTACTCTTTGACTTACTCTATTCAAAGTTTATGTTTCTTGGAGAGAGAAGTCTATTGGCTGAATATGAGCCAAGGTTCTATCCCAGCTAGGACTGGAAGGCAGAGACACTTAGCATAGGCAGGGCTACTGGGGGTGTGTGTGGGAATCCACCTTCATGTATAAAAGGGGTCATTCTCAGGGAATAATAATCATGACTAGCTTACATGAGTGCTTACCATGTGCCACCAAGTGATCTGAGTATTTAATGTACATTATTTCATTTAAGCCTCACGACAACCTAATGAGGGGATATTCTCATTCCCATCTTACAGATGAGGAAACTGAGGCTCAGAGAGGTTATAAGGGATTTGCTTGAACTCACACAGCTAGGGGTGGGGAAGCCAGACAGTCTGCTCCCTGATCCTGTGCTCTTAACCACCTCCCCATGATGCTTCCCTAACAGAAGGGGGATTGGGAGCCAGGCAGCCACCCTCTTTGCTTTATTGGGTGAGAAGTTTCCAGAAGGATAGCATGACGTAGTTAATGATGAAAGGACTATAAATCTGCCAGATTCTGACATCCAGGAAACTGACCCTCAGGCTGGAAAAGTGGCTTGCCCAAAGTTACACATTGAAGAGCAGGCTAGGTGTCCTCCCAATCCCCTGCTCTTTCCTCCACCGCCTCCCATTCTCAGCCAATCAGCTTCAATATTCAGGCTCCCTAACAACTCATTTACATTTGTGGGGTCCGCTGAAAGCACTACTCCAGTTTTTCATTCAGTTCAGTCTCTCAGCTGCAATTCTACCTATCCACCCTATTATCCCAAATCTGCTTGTTTGTTTATGAAAATCAAGGGAAGCCCTAGAATGCCTTCTAAGGAAGGAAGTACGTCATTTCCCACCTGTATTACTTTCTTCCGATCATCAGAGCTCACCAGTCATGGAGAAAGAAGAGTCAACAGCTTTCCAACGCTGGCCAGGAGGAGTCCAAAACTGTAAATAAATACTCAAAGGTTAAACTCTAGAGGCCAGTGTCCACTGCTGTCCTTGTCATGCTGTCAGCTAGACTTGGGTTGAAAGAACGTGCTTCCTACAGATCTTGGGAGTGAAAAGAATGGGTTCAGAGAAAGTGCTGGTGCTTGGGCCAGCCTTGACAACTGGCCTGGGACTTCAAAACATATGGGAAATCTCAGACCTGGTGGTCCATCCTGCGTGCTTCGGGGAGCTGCCCTTGCACATCAGGCCCTCTGAGAGAAGACTGTAGTGAGGAAAGGGCGTGAGCATGGGTCAGGCTGTAGAAAGCAGAGAGTAGGAGAAAGGCAGAATTGAAGTTAGGCAATCTTTTAAAGCCACTTACGTTTGCCTGCATCCTTATGTTACCCTCTTTGTTAACGCCTCCAGAAAGAATCTGTTCTACTCACTCTTGTTGATAGATGCTGACTCTTCCCCAGGAGGATTGATGTTCTCACCTAACCTCACCTGGGACTCTGGTACCCCTAGACAGGTGGTGCATGAGTGGGCTTTAGAAAATGCAGGAATCCTCTGAAATCATATGTAAAATGTTGTGGGTATGTGCATTTTTCTAAGGAAAGCAGTCATACATCTGATCAGATAGTTAATGGGTCCACAATCTTTAAAAAAAATGTATGACTGTACACCAGAAATGGACACATTGTAACTGACTATATCTCCATAAAAAAAGAGACAGAGAGAAAAAAAAAAAACAATGTACAAACCACTTGGCCTGGAAGCTTGAAGGTGGAGGACTGCTCTACAAATTGTGTCATTTCAAGAGCCATGAGCTAGGGTAGGGGTCATAAATTTTTCCCCAAGTCCTTAAAAATCACATGAAACTCACTAATAGAGTCACAGAGGGTTGGCTTGGGAGAGGTAGATCATCTTGAGGTGGACTGATGGAAACTGGAGGGGAAGGCAGCAGCAGAGGCATCAGAGATGTTGGGGGATTTCGGGGGGGGTGGCATCAAATCAAAGCCAGACATTTTGAAATAACTTGAGCAGAGGAGCCAATCTGAACGTGCTCTGCAGAGCTCAGCTGAATGAGAGAGACGAGATCTGAATGGCTGCGAGCAGACACTGTCTTGAAGAAGATTTGTGTTTAACTGTGATATTTAATATTCTTTTGCAAGGCAAAACAGTAGCAATCAATGTGAAAGTAAGGGAGCAGCTGCTGCTTCCCAAATACTGTCAACAAGACTGAAAATGTGCGAGGTGTTGTGAATAATGGCTGTAATTAAAGCAGTGCAGCAAGTCTGGTAGGATAAGCAGGGCTCCCAGGGTTATGATTATCAAGTTCGGTCTCCAAAGCACTACTTCTGTGTGTGTGTGTGTCCAAGTGTGCAAGTGTATGTATGTGTACGCATATGTGCCCATATACCTATGTATAGAAATGTGGAGAGTTGAAAGAAAAGAAAGAATCTGGAGAAAGTATCATAGAGGAGGAAGGTGAGATAAATGAGACTTGATGGTAGGAGGTGATAAGAGGAAAAGGGAGAAGATGCAGAAGAGAGAAGGAAAGAGGAAGAGTTGTCTTTTTGCTCTGTGGGCCAAGGGTTGGCAACCTACCTTACCGGACCACCTATATAAAGTAAGTCTATATACACACACACACACACACACACAATCACATTCACTGCATGTTATGTCTAGCAATAATTCTCTCTCTCTAATTTTTCTTACTTATTTATTGCTTTCTTCATTGAATTGTATGTTCCATGAAGGCAACGACCACGGCTGTCCCATTTATAACTTGGTAGTAGTCAGTTTAGGCTAAGTTATACTGCAGTAACAAATGACTCCCCCAAACAAAGATTTATTTCTTGCTCATATTACGTGTTGGCCATGGGTTGTTAATGGCTGTGCTCCATGTGTCTTCCCTCTGGGACCCAGGTTCAGAGTGGTCCCTATCTGGGATATCGGTGTTCACAGAGCAGACAGAAGACAGACCATAGTGTTAATCACTCTATGGCTCTGAAAGCTTCTGCTTAGAAGTGGCATAGTCACTTCTATTCACATTTCATTGTGAAGCAAGTCACATGGCCATTCCAGAGTTTAACAGGATGAGGAAGTATAATATACCCTCAGGCGAGGGTGACAATAAATTTAAACAGTATTACCATCTGCTGCATTACCACATTCTCAGCACTTAGTACAGTTCCTGGAGCAAAGTACAGTGTCCTATCCATGGTGTCCTGTGGCCTTTGGCTATTGGGAAGCTTCGTTCCAATGTGTCATGTGAGATTGGTAAGAACTTCCTCATGGTTTGTATTATGTGATATAGAAAATTGATATTTTCTCAATCTTATGTAATGTGCCAACAAGAGTATCTTTAGAAAAAAATGCTCTTTTTATTGCTTTATAGCATACAATCCAAGCAAAAACCATGTTTTTTTAAATGCAAAGACAGCTGCAAGAAAAATCTCCTAGCTCCCTTTTAAACAGATTGTTTTCTTTAAGCTCCTTCCATGCAAAAATTTCAAAACCACCACCAGTTGGGGAAATGGAGTGAGGGGGCCACTGGAGTAGGGGCTTTGGAGCTTTCCAAACAATTCAGAGAGATGGAAGTATCATTACTCTTTCGAAGTTTAAAACGTAGGACAGTCTGTGGGAAAACACTGAACTGTGAGTTCTCTAACAAGCATGCCAAGCTCGTGATGTCCCAAGCTGAACTTTTGCTATTCCCCTTCACCCAGGACCTGTTCCACCTTTAGCCTTTTCCATTTTTTTCCAGTTGCTCAAGCCAAATTGCTTGGAATTGTCTCTGAATGTTTCCCCTGTTTCTGTGTCTCTCTCATACCCCACATCCAGTTCATCAACAAATACTGTTAGTTCTGTCTTCAAAATATATCCAGAATCTGACCATTTTCTATCATCTCCAATGCTACCACCTTGGTCTAAACCATCATCATCTCTTAGATGAATTGTTGCAAGACCTCCATCTGTCAGCTATTGCTCTGGTAGTATTGCCAAACAATCCCCACATGTTAATTGCTTACAACATTTTTTTTGCTTGCTCCTGGGTCTGTGGGCTGGCTGGAATGGCTCTGCTTCAGGCTGAGAGTCAAGTTCATACCCTCTCCATGTATCTCTTCATTCTGGGATCAGCAGCCAGCTGGGATATGTTCTCCTCACGGCAGATGGCAGGTATACAAGAGGCCAAGCTAAATCAGGCAAACACATTTAAAATCTCTGCTAGCATCATGCCCACTGACGTTCCACTGGACATAGCAAGTCATGTGGCCATGTTCAGCAGCAACGTGGTCATAAATTATATTCTATTTGCTCGAGAAGAAAGTGCTGCAAAGTCACATGACAAAAGGATGCATAAAAATTCTCTAACAGGAGGGGGGTGGAAAATTAAGAACACTAATCCAATCTGCCACCCCCTCTAGCCGTCCTCTTTGCTTCTGTCTTTTTCCTCTTAGAATCTATTCTCAACATGACTCCCTCCCTCACCTCTTTCTGGTCTTTGCTCAGATGTCACTTTCTCAGAGAGAAAGTGCACTTTCCTATGCACACTATTTAAAATTGTCAGCCCCCCAAACCATCCCAGCATTTCTATCTCCCTTTCCTGTTTCATTTTTCTCTAAGAACACTCAAAACCTTACATGCTGTGTATTTTGCCTGTTTCGTTTATCATCTGTTTCATTTTAAAAGAATGTAGGCTATCCAAGGGCAGGTATTCTGGTCTGATGTGTTCACTGCTGTCTCTTGAGTGCTTAGAACAGTGCCTGGCACATAGTAGCCCTCGATAAATACTGAATGAATGAGCGAGCACTCAGCAGCAGGAACAAGAAGCTGGCTAGGCTAAGAGGAGGAAGAGGTTGCGTATGGCAGAAAACTGGGACACTATACCAAAGGTCCTGCCATTTTTGAGGAAGGGAAAGGCCATAACAGAAGCATCCCTGGGGGAAGGGAGATAATAAAGTATCACTTAATTCATGGTCATTTGGGGTCTATAGGTGGTGAGGTGACATGGTAACTCACAAATATCCACCATGCCCTCCTGCTATCTCCTTCTTGTCTGTCCCCCATCCACATGCAGAGAGGCAGAACCAGGATTACAAACTCATGTTTCCTGAGTTCCTTTTGTCCATTCTCCTCCCTTGGCACCACAAGCCAGGAATCTTCGATGGTTCAAGCTTCACGTAAAGCCATGAGGTCTGCCAGGCTGGCTGGTTTTCCCTGAGTAAGTCCCAGTGCGTTACTGCCTTGAGATAGAACCCTATTTGAGAAGCCCTTTGGTTTCTGTCTTAGAAGAAAGAGGCAATTCCATGCAGGTAGGTCCCAGGGTCAGCCCTAGAATCATGGTCCTCTAAGTCAGTGGGGTCTGGGAGAGCTGGCTGAGCCACCAGAAAAGGCACTAAAACACTTCATGGGGATCCAGGCCTCGGAGTGATTTCTAACACTCACTAGGCATCTTAAAGCTGGGTCAATGGTTGCAGAGTATTGGCCAAAATATCTATAGTTTTTGACTTTTTTAATCAATTTTTTTAAGGTTATATAGACAAACATGTGAAGAAACAAATTAGCACATATATATAAAGCATAATATAAATAATGTGTATAAGTGGTGTAGTAGTCACCAAAGATGGTTATTAAGGCTATTAATTACTTCTTCCCATGTACCAGCATACCACTCCCTTCACCAAAGAGTGGAGTCTCTTCTATCTCCTTTTAAAGCTGGTCTGGTCTCAGGTCTTACTTTGACTAGTAGAACGTGGCAGAAGTAACACTGTGCACAGTTTCAGGTCTAGCTTTTTCAGAGGCTTAAAAGCATCTGCATTTTCTGAGGCACCCAGCTACCTTGGAAAAAGTCTGACTACTCTGAGACCACCATGCTCTGAGGAAGCCCAAGCTAGCCACATGGAAATGCCATGCAGAGGAGAATCCAGGAACCCAGTCAACAGTGAGAATTGAGGCTCTAGACATAGAAGCCCAGTCAAGCCATCTTGACCAGTCCCCAGCTGTTTGAGTCATCCAGCTGAGCCTCCAGGGACCATGGAGCAGAAAGAAGCCACCTGAACTGTGTTGGGATGCCTAACTCCCAGCACTGTGAGCAAGGAAAGTGATGGTTGTTTTAAGACATTACGTTTGAGAGTGGTTCTGTAACAGGGGAGAACAGAAACAATGGAAATGTGTGCAGTGAGGGGTATAGTGTGGTGTCAAGCCCGTGGAGCCTGTATAAAGGCTGCCTGGGACTAGCCCATGACCTTGGGCATATCACTGAATCTCTCTGTACTTCAGTTTCCTGTCCTCTAAAACAGGGTTCGTAATATCTCAAATTGGAGTTGTGACAATTGAGTTCATTCATGTAAAGCCCTGTGAACTATGCCTGGTGCATAATCAGTCCTATGTAAGTGTTAGCTATTCTGTGATGATGATGATGATAATGGTGATTGGCATTATGGGTCAATCCATTTCATTCACATTTACTCTCTTGTCTCCCTGGGACCCCGAGAAACAAAAAGAAACCAAGTAGGACAATTAAAAGTACCGCCTCTCTAGCTACCAACATAAGGCTTTGGCATACAGTGTGAGCTTGGAATTTGGGGATTGAATTGAAGGCCCCAAATCATTTCTGGCTGACCTAGGAAGGAATCAGTGGATTGGGTGTGCCCCCTTTCCCCATCCAATTTTCCTCTGTATTTCCATTTTGCGTAGGCAAATGTTCAAGTTTGCATTCCTTAAGCACACATCCACAGGCTGTCATAGGAGCAGGGGGAAAGACAGCTCAGAAACTGGCTGGGAGGCAGGGGAAGCCAACTTAGAGAAAGACACTATCCTCAGATAATTCATCCAAGTGGCTACATCACAGGAGGAATCAAGGGTTGACTTTAGTAAATTACCACTTCCCCAAGGAGTCCCAATGGCCTGAAAAGTTCATGTAGCCTCTCCCAAGTACCGACCACCACTGGATGGGAAGCATGTGGGCTCTGGGAGGATTGGCTTCAATATAAAATAAAGTAGCTAATAAGTATTTCCACCCTTCTTGTCACTCTCATGGAAATACAAGCTGCCAAGGCTGAGGGGAGGTGGGTGTTAAATGTTCATCTGACTAATCTGTAAATCAGGGTGATGCAGCCTGTGCCCAGGCAGTAGGAGGCAACTGGGAGACAAGGGCCGGGCCCCTGAACAGTGTTGTGCAAGTGGAGCTTGGAGGGCTCTGGGCGAGGCACAGAGGATATGACTGGAGCTGAAAGTCAGTAAGAGGGGAAGAGTTGGAGTAAAATAATAAGGTGGACAAAGCCTTCCCCTGACTTTTCCGTCCCCTCCTACCACCCGCATCTGCTCCCCTCATTGTTTCCACTGCCACAGCCGAGCAGATTGCACAGACCTTCTCTGGTTGCTGCTCCCCAAACACCAAAATAATACCCCGCTCCCCACTTTGGCCATCCCCCTCCTCATATATTCAAAACTACCATTTCCCTAAAGAGCTGAGCCCCTTCTAATCGAACCCCTGAAAGCAAAGCCAGATTAGAGAAGCAGGGAAGAGCTGCCTGTGAGGGGTGAGAGGCAAAGGAAGCAGGGGAGTTCTGGAATCCAGCTGGTGTTCTGGAGAAGCAGGGCGAGGAGTGACTGACGGGCTAGTCTGGGCAGCTGCCTGGCTGCTGGATCCTACCCGACTTTACACAGACGGCTCAGGGCTCCGGGGAGCTGGGGAGGGGTCGCTGCCAATACACGGCGCGCTTGCAGGAGGGGAATGGTGAAGTTCCATGCAGACTGTGTCGGAACGGAAAAAACCGACAGAAAGCCCTCTCCCTAGGGGAGCCACCAATTGCTGTGTCGCTTGACTCTGCTTTCCAACAGGGGCACTGTCTGCCCAGCATCTGATGCTGCGAGGATCAAAAATAGCCTCTGGTAACTGCTAGAAGATCTGTTTATAGAGCTCCAGCCTTCACACCACCTGTGAGTTACACCCTACCAAGCAGTCTTTTCTCAAGAACAAATTTGTTCTTTCTCAGAGGGGGCCACTGGCCACAAAAGGTGAATGCTCTCCTGCACTCCTATGCCTCCTCCACCCAGAGGACCACCAGCGCCTGCCCATCCTGAGTGTGCGCTCAGGCACTGAGCACTTCTCCTGAGCAAAGCTGAATTATTCTGGGTCCCATTCTCTCCCTCGCTCTCTCTTTTTTGCTGGAGACTACCTAAGTAACCTGAACAACTTTAGCCATCCTAAATCCCTTCCAATGTCCTTCTGCTGCAGACCCTCTCCCCTTCCTATTCCTGGAAACCAGCATAATGGGTTGCCCCTCCCTCCCAACCAAGTAACACATTTTCATTTTGAAAGGGGAAGACTAAGTTCTTTGACCTAAGAAGTGACTGAAAGTGTGAATTTCAGGCAGGCCACCAGAAAGCTATTTTTGAGGCATAGGGGCTTTCTGGTGGCAACCTATCTCACCCATCAGTGCTACAAACCCTGCCTGTGTCTAAGACCAGCCTTGTGCCCCTAGCATAGGGCCAAGAGACTTGGACACAGATCTAATGACTTATAGGAATGAGGTAGGTAACTCAAAAAAATCTAGTGGGTGGAGTACACCAGTCTTTGTGGCAAACTAGAGACCACATACCCATCTGAATTACGAAATAGCAGTGCAAAAAGAAGATATTAAACTGCAAATGACAGCTTACCTCCCTGCCTGACAGAGAAGAGGAAGTAGTGGGTCAGGGGTGAATTAGAGAGGCGCGCATGCTCTGTTCACACAGGGCAGCCGCTCCTCAGCTCCAGCCCAGTGTGGCTGCAGGTCAGACTGTGTGCCTAAAGTTGGCGCAGCTTCCACATTTTCAAGAGAAACTCAAAGAGCTGATGTTTTTCAATGCAACATCTCCAGTTTTTTTAAAAATATTTTCCAATTACCAAAAAATAATCCCAGAATATTGGGCATGCCGAGCAAAACACATCTCTGAGATGCACACAGCCTCTCCTGGAAGCTGTCCCAATATATGACCCCAGGCATTAAATCAGCTCAAGATATTTAAACTCAGGCAACATTTAGCTTGACACTGATTATATGTTCATGAGTAGAAGAGAGAGAGAGAGAGAACCCAATCTAGAGATAATTTCTGTATCTCTTTAAAAAATCTCATAAGGGTGGAAGATATAGCTCAGTGGTAGAGCAAGTGCTTAGCATGCACGAGGTCCGGGAT